ATATATATATATATCAGTGATTGAAAATTTCTTTTTTTAAATTATCTCGTTCCGTTCCCCGTTCATTTTGTAAAATAAAAACTAATTCCAGTTCCTTGTTCTTTAGTCAAAAAAGGAACTCGCTCCTGCAAAATATCTTCACAAAATTTGGAAAGATATAACTAGTCTAAAAAATGCCAAAAACTTTAATAACTTTCAATTATTTACTAGTTATATTGTCTACTTGTCTATTGTTTACAGGAAAATAAACTTTTAACTCTTAAAAAATGTTTTTTCATATTTTGTATATAATAGCAATGCTTAAATCAATTTTATATCGTCTTGATAGCGATATTTAAATTAATTTTGTATAGTCTTAATAAAAATATTTAAATTCTTTATAAATAGTATAATTAGTAATTAGGGATAAAATCTAAAACCAGTTTTTATATCAATTTCCGAAAAAAAGAAAAAAAAAACGAAAATGGATTTAAATCGGTTTTTATAAAACTAAAACTTTTAACTTCATACAAACATTTATTAATATTAATATTAATAACAATATGGTCATAAAAAAAGAAATTTAAGTTTAAGAATCAAAAATGTTGGAATGTTATTGGAAGTTTAGAGAAAATATCTGGTATTAAACTTTTAAAATCCACCACCCAGTGACGGGTCCGGGGAGGGGAGAGGAAGATCTAATTCTATGCATCTCCCCCCCCCCCCCTCCTTGGAATTAAAATTGAAAAAATAAAATAAACAGGCCTTTTGTAAATTTAAGGAGCTTTTCTTCTTTTTTTTGTTTTGGTATAGACATAATTTTTTTTTAGTTTTGGTATAAACCCTTCCTCCTCCCCCATCACCTCCAAAAAGTTCTAAATCCATCACTGCCACCGTTTTATACAACGTTTCACCTAGTACTTGTTATGTAAAGTAAAAGAAACTTTACAATTTTTTTTCACTATCTGCATACAATTCGACAGAAGCTTGATTTTGTTTTCTCACAAGTATACTGTATATACAAGAATATCGCCTAGATCGCTGTGATGGACGTCGAGGTGGCGGTGTAGCTTTCTACATTACTGACTTGTTTAACTCTCACGAAGTTAATCAGTTTTATACAAACCCACTTGAACAAGTTTAGATATCAGTAAAAATTAATATAAACGCATACTTATTGGGTGTATATATAGACCAAATGATGCTAATCTAATAAACTATGTCGCTGAATTTTTCAAATTAGCTCATTGCTAAATTAGGAAGCCTTACAATGACTATTTGATCGTTGGTGATTTTATGTCCCCGAATATGAATTGTTTTAATAATGTTATTTAATCTTTCAATCCAAACAATTCTAAGGAGTATTAATTTTGGAACATTACCAAAACAGCCTCTATACACAACACATTCCCTACTTTCCAGACAACCTATTCCCCAAACTAATATATTGGAGTTATCATTAAAAATATGTAGGTCTTATGATTTACCTACAAACAATAATTCTATTTTAAATTTGTCTCCTAATGCTACACTAGGTAATAACACTAAGGGTCACTTTAGTATTACTTGGAGAAGCAAAGTTTCAGAACCGCTACCGCTACTTCTGAACTCTCAATTTAAATCTATTTTTACTTTTGAAAGCTCCGAAAATTTTCGATTGTTAAATAAAAGTGAAGTTAAACCTAAATGCAATTATAATAACAACTTGGATTTCTCTATTGCAGACATTATTAATGAACTTACCGATCTAAACCCTTAAAAATCTTTCAGACCTGACTGCTAGCACCTTTTAATACTTAGGATATGTGCCAAAAGCTTTGCAATTCCGCTTACAAAAATCTTCTATGATTCTTTTAAATCTGAAATAGTACCAACTCTCTGAAAATTAGCAAATATTAGTCCGATCTATAAAAAAAGGGAGACAAACTACTTCCTGAAAACAATCGACCTATTTCACGAACCTCGGTTGCGTGAAAAATCTTTGAAAAAGTTGTAAAGATTATATTCTTGAAGCACATTAACAATAGCAATCTGCTCTCTACAAATCAACATGGCTTCCTTCATCATAAATCTTGCGTAACCAATCTAATAGAGACTTTTAATATTATTTCGTCTTCCCTAGCATCGTACCAGTTTATAGATGTAATCTACCTCAACTTTGCTAAAGCTTTTGATTCCGTACCTCACACCAGACTCATGTTAAAATTAAAATCATTTGGAATAAACGGCAAACTACAACAATGGATTAATTCCTTTTTAGTTGGTAGAAAGCAACGCGTTACAATTAACAATACTAGCTCTGACTGGGTTGATGTTTTTAGTGGTGTTTCTCAAGGCTCTGTTCTCGGCTCGCTCCTCATTATTCTTTTTACAAACGATCTTGCCTAACTTACTGAAAATTCTGAAATATTTGCCGACGATACTAAACTTTTTGTAAAAAACTTATCTACTATTTTTGTTGATCTGCAGGATCGTCAAAGCTTAGTATACAAGTAGTCAAACACTTGGTTACTTAAATTAAACATTTCAAAATGTTGTGTTACTCATTATGATAAAACCAATCTAATGTATAACAAAATAATAAATGTACGAATGAAAGTCTAAGAAGCTCTGCTAAAGAGAGCAATTTAGGAGTTATTTTTACATCCGAACTCGAGTGCACACATTTTCAATCAGCTGTCTCCAAATCTTTACAAATTCTTGTTATGCTAAAAAAGACATTCGCCATCATTGATGAAAAAATGGCCCTCAAATCATATAAAGACAACACCTTGATTATGCAGTGTCTGTTTGAGCCCCGTATTTTAAAACTGACGTAGCTTTTGTTGAATCTGTTCAACAAGCAACAAAATGGGCTTGAAGCTTAAGAAATCTTTAAAAACTTTAGAAAACTAAAAAAACTAAATTTACTATCACTTGAGTTTCGGCGCCTACGATGCAATCTAATACAAATTTTTAAACTTGCATCGATTTGATAAAATTAATAATATATATCAAACATAATTTATTAACTCATTGTCATGTGGTCACCATCTTAAAATAAGGCGTGAATACGTTCCAAACGTATTCCAAGACACAACCAACTATCTAATAGATCAGAAAAATGCTGGAACGAACTACCCGAGCAAGTAATTTTCTACTCAATATTCTACTCAAATTTCAATGACACTTTCAAGTATTGCACTACCTACACTACTTACTCCAAACATAAATATGTTTAGGTCTATGTCAAATGCTAAAATAGGAGACCTTGCAAAAAATCAATATGATGGAGGCCCGGGAACAAAATTACCTCCAAAATTTTGGCCCCCTCCCTACACAAACGTGAGAGCATTTATATAATAAAATTATGTAGTTATTATGTGGTAAACCTTACTTCTTATACTAACTTTACATCTTAGTTTAAATTCATTGACAGGTTTTTAATTAAAAAATATTGTTAATTAATTAAAAACAACCATACAAAATTTACAACCCATTCCCTCCTTTTTTTTTTTAGGGGAGGATTGTAGAGTTTGTTATCATTAAATATATATATAGCGGAGAGAACTTGTTATCATTTAATATATATATAGCGGAGAGAATTTCTTATCATTAAATATATATATAACGGAGAGTTGCCGAAATTGGAACACTTGCATTTATTTTTGAAAAAAAATGAATTTGAAATTTTTGAAAAAAAATGAATTTGAAATTTTTGAAAAAAAATGAAAAAAAAAAATTTATTAAAACGCATTATCTTCAATGTTTTGATACATTTTGAAAGTTATTCCTCAAAAAAATACATTTGCACCATTGATTTAAAGTTTTTTTACGTCATTTTTTTTCAGTGATCTAATTTTGCGTTACACACTATATTGGTTGCACTTGGTAAACTATGGTTCTATAGGTTATATGATTTTTTGTGTTTAATTTGATGGGATTTAAAATGCAAAATACCAATATAAACTTATTTTATAAGTTGCTGCAAGCATATCATTGCAGAAATATAACAAAACAGTCCAAAGTTTCCTTGATTGGAATTAAAGTTTTCATTTCAAAACATTAAAGTTTTCCTTACCTAATCAGTAATAAAATCAAAGGGTTGTAAAAATAGTTTGAGTGCAATTAAAAAAAAAACTTAATAACAACCATAAACCGTAAAAATAATACTTTGTTTAGTGATTTCTAATCAATAAGTTAAGAGAACGTCATAACAGTTGAAGCTTTTATACAATTTTTTGTTTGTAGACTTTAATTTTGTCAGGGTAATAGTAATCCTATAATAAGTTTTAAATTAACTGTTTAAATTTTTACTGTAAAGATAAAAATCATTTTTAACCAATTTTTGTTGATTTAAAAAAAAAAAAAAGTAACCTGTTCTGATTAAGGAATCAAAGTGTTCCAATTTAGGGAACCAGTTGCCTTGATTGGAACAAAATGGTACCTTTGCAAAAACAAATTTATTTCCAATAACAGTGCAATCAATTAAGTCAAATTGTGGTTAAAAGTATAGTAGGGATTACTGTTTGTATTATTCAAATCATAAATGTTTTCATTGTTAAGCCATCTTTGGTTAATAAATACTTATTCCTGAAGTGTTCCAATTATGGCAACTCTGTTCGTTTGAAATGCCGCAGATTGGTTTGGATGGATGGATTGAAAAATTGTCATAGATAGGTTTTGTTTTTGCGGAAAAAAGAGTTATAATTGACAATAAATCTTATTTTTATTTCAGCACCAATCTTACTGGAAAATTGGATTCTATTCTTCTGACATAAATGTAACATCAAAAGATGTAAAAAAGAAAGAAAAAGAAAAATTCGAGCTGAAATTACTCGTTTGGATTGCATTCTCGACGAAAGTTCAAGAACGCAATTCAATGGAGTAATTTCGCTTTATTTCCATGCAATTATTCGCAAAGAAATAACAGTAAAGTTAAATTTTATACATCACTGAATTAAAAGCAACCTAAAAAAGTAAAACTGAAATTAAGCTCTAACGTTTTTTTCAGCGAAGCTCTAACGAAAGAAACTTTGAAATAAAATTCGCGGAATCTTTTTTAAAATTATTTTGAGAATAGTTTTGAGAACAAATTGCAATCGGAAATTGTTCATGACACAACGCTTCAAAAATCTTTATAAAAAAGACTTTATAAAATAAACTATCTATTCAAGTAGTAATGGGAGTCCAGGTATCTTGTTTGGAAAAAAATAATCAGCTTTTTCTCCCTAAAATTAAAATCTAACATAAATTTTTCATTTTATATTAGAATGTATAATACAATCAATATAAGAATAGTTGACTTATTTTCATACGACAAAGGTCTATTCTTTTTGCATTGGCTGCAAAATCAAATGATGCACCTGCAAAATTAAATAATGCACCTTTTAGAAATATCTTTGCCTCAGTAAAATGTATACGCTGTATACTCTATACTACAGACTATGTATGCACTTTATATCCTATAATACAGTAATGTAAAGAGTGTCTTAAATTTTTTATCAATTATCTGCTTTAGTTCTTTTTCTGTTTAAAGATTTAATTTAAGAAAACGTTGAAAAAAAGCTGTTTTTAAATTCATTGCTATAATTTGTGTACACCATTTTTCTAATTATAAAACAGATCTCTTTTTCCTAAATCTTTTTTTTTTATTCTAATTTTGTTTGACTATTGTCAAGTCAATCTTTCATCTTCACACCAAAAGGTATGTTGCTGAATGAAGCCTAATTTCTAATTATCAGTGATATTTTTCCTCTTTGTTTTTTTAGGCCATTTTCTAGATCACTAGTTGTTATGTTAGTTTAGTATATTTAGCTTAGGCTCTTCATAGGCTGTGTTTTTAGGTTGAATTCATAAAATTTTCCAACAAAAAGATTTGTAATTTTGAAGGTCTAAAGAAAATTGTAGAGCACATGTGTGTGTTATGTATTAAATGTAAACACATTGTGTTATACTGTAAAAGCTGTCTCCTATATTCAATAAACGGTTTACTCTACGCAGTTCAATCAGCTGTCAACTTACAAAAATTTTTTGTAGAGTTGCACTGAGTGTGCCAACATATAATGCAAAATCCTATGGTAAACATTCCTTTAAATACTCTGAATCAAATTCAAAATAAATTAAAATCCATCCCTTTTAACAAATTTAAAAATACTAATTGCTACATCAAGATAAATAGGAACAACAGTAGTATCACTGGTGATAAAATATATATCACTGTAAATATATAAGATATTAATATGAATGTTGACTAATTGCAACTTTCTGTGAGTGTATTATTTTATTTGCATTTTTTTTTTGTTTTTTTTTTTGTTCTGTTTGTTCATGGTTGCTCTCCTCGATTTAGCCTAGCTATATGAGGGTAAACCATCCAGAATTTAGACTATATATATATATATTTTTTATAACTTATGACATTCTTATGTAAAACATCTATAATTTGTTGTTGTTGTAATGACATAAAACATTAAATAAATGAACATGGGCTATATATAGACAGGAAAAAATGTATCTAGAATGAGCTAGCTATTTCTAGATTCATATTTTAGTAATAGCATACAGCTAAAAGTCTTAATTTTAGTCATGTTGCATTTATGTTAATATTTTGAAAGGATAGCAAATGTAAAAACATGCTACCATGAAACACTTTAAAGGTTGGTTTATTTAAACTACTTTTTGGTGCATGCTAAATATTTAAATTTTTCATTCAAAGTATTATTGCTATGTTAATAAAACTAATACAATAATACTGTTTACTTGCAATTAAATAAACAATAAAAGATCAAAATTTATTGATATTTTAAAAACAATGCAAAATTTGTGATGTAAAGTTGAGCGTTTAAGTATTAAAGGGACTTAAGTTATGATATTAATTAGTGGGATCTATTATGGATAATTTCCTTGGACCCATACCTCGAAATTGATATTAAGTATGAAAATAGTATTTTTTATATTTTTATTTAAAATTGATATTATTGACTTGTTATGTAAAGCAGTACCAGACTATTTTATTATTAAGCATAAGACAACTTAGATCTTACTGAAAAAGAGAAAGTATTTCTCAAATACGATTAAAAAAAGATTTATTAGAACTTAACCTGTCAATACTTTTTATCAATCAATTTCATTACTCATTTTTTGTTAACAATAAACTGTTTTGTGTCTATTATTAGTATCATTCTGAAGAAAATATTCAGTTAGAAATAATTAAATAGTTTAAAATAATACAAATAGATTTGATTCTTAGATGCTTATTCAAAGTATACATTTTTTGATTAAGTTAATGTTATTCATAATATCCATACCTCATAAATATTATAGAGCCTATATTATTTAAAAACCATTTGAAAATAGTTTTATTACAATGGTTACAATACAAATGACTGTTTCTGACATGAATGACTAACAGTACTATTTTGAATAAATAGTTGTAGAGCTTTTTTTTATAAAATTTTCAAAACAAAACTTTTTTAGAAAGAAATATCCAGGCTAAAGCATAATACATATCTGAAAAAATATAAATACTTAAAGGGACTGCATTATTTAAAAAAGAGTTTCCCACCTATTTGTGAAGTAGTGAACAGTGTTTTTATTGATATTTTTAATTTTTTAGAATCTTGCAGAATTAGAGACATTTTGTGAGCAACTTTATCAATCTTCTGATCCATCTGTACGTTTAAAGGCCGAAGAAGCACTCTTACAATTTTCATCATCTTCTGATTGTTTGCAAAAATGTCAATATTTACTTGAACAAGGAACAGTAAGAATTTTGAGATTTAAAAAAATTTAAGTATACGATTTATTTCTAGTTGTTATCTTTTTTTAATTTTCTTTTAAAAGACTTCATATACTCAGTTGTTGGCAGCTTCTACAATTACAAAAATGATAACTGGAGGCTCCTCAATCTCGATTGCACAACGTGTTGATATTCGTATGTTATTTATCTTACAATAAATTTTAAAATGCTAAAAAATAAAATGACTTATAAAGATCTAATCATGTGAACTTCTGAGTGTTTCTCTTGTTCTATATTGCATATATATATATATATATATATATATATATATATATATATATATATATATATATATATATATATATATATATATATATATATATATATATATATATATATATATATATATTAGGGTGGTGCTAAAAACAACTTTTTTTGAAAATGTCTGTTGACACCCCCTAAATGTGTTCTATCTAATACAAAAACACTAAGTTTAAATTTTTTTTGAATAAAAGTTATTTTAAGGGGTGCCCCATGACCCTCAAAAATTTAATGGGTCCCTAATATTTTCAAAAAAACCTGGTACTCAAATGAAGCAAAATTGTATAAAAACTTCAAAAATAATTTTCATTTCGAAAAAAAATTGTTATTTTTTGTTTTATTACATAAAAAATTGCGTTTTTTAACAAAAAATGAAAGAAATGCATTTTTTATGATTTATTTTATAATTTTGATAAATAAGTTAAATTTCTTTCAAAATGAACATTATTTCGAGGGTCATGTGGCACCCCTTAAAATATTTTTTATTCAAAAAAAATTTAAACTTAGTGTTTTTGTATTAGATAGAACACGTTTAGGGGGTGTCAACAGACATTTTCAAAAAAAGTTGTTTTTAGCACCACCCTAATATATATATATATATATATATATATATATATATATATATATATATATATATATATATATATATATATATATATATATATATATATATATATATATATATATATATATATATATATATTTATATATTTATATATATATATATATTTATGTATATATATATATATATAAATTAATAATAAATTAATTACAAAAATACAATAAAATCAGTTAAAATGTTTATCATGTTATACTAAAGAAATAGGAAATAACAAAAGAATAGGTTAAAAAGATGCATAATACATATAAAAAATAGCAGCTAAACAAAAAGTGTCATTTGTACATGGTTAACCTCTTTATACATACCAGGTTTTAACCATTCTATGAACATACTTTCTTTAAGTTTCAACTCGAATTTGTTAGATTCTGAATCTAAACAGAAAAACACTCATTACTTATTTGAATGAAACAATTTTCATTAGCATGGAAATATTTATAGGTGAGACTTTTTTGTCTCTCTTGTAATGTTCATATATCCGGGTCTTAAGATGGTAAAACTACTTGCATTTCAAATTATTTTAAACTGGCTATCACTGTTTCTTTGCTAGACCATCTGAGTACTGAGTTTAACACAATGTTTGATGATACAATTTTAGAGTGTTATAAAGCACCTGTGTTTTAATTTTTTTGTTCTAATCTTCAGTTTCTTCTAAAAACAATTGCAGAAATTCATTGTTTTGTTATACTAGTTGGAAAGACCACATCATATCTTTACATCATAACTTTTATTTAACCAAAGGCTTTATTACAGTTTATTTATTATTGCCGAACCAAAGGCTTTATTATGTGAGTTTGACCTGTGGGAAGTTTGAATTTCACTTAACTATCTGCTTTTAAAATGAACTCTAACCTAATAAAACTGAAACGTTACAAGCAACAAACTTTTTCTTTACTGAGGCGCCTAAAAGCTTACAAGAGATTAGTAAGAAGAAGTTGCAAGTTGTGACCATTTTAACGATTTTATGAGTCATTTAAAGAATTATTAAAATATTTTGATAAAAAACACTCAATCCGGTCAAAACTAAAAAAATACGGAATGGTAGAGGGGTATAGCTTTTTTGGACTTATCACTTAGAAAAAGTTTTTTTAATTTAACACTATGTTTCATCAATAAAGACTCATCAGAAAACTTCTCTGATGAGTCTTTATTGATGAAACACAGTGTTAAATGAATATATATATATATATATATATATATATATATATATATATATATATATATATATATATATATATATATATATATATATATATATATATATATATATATATTAGGGCTGTTCAGTATGCTAATTTGTTTTCAGAACATAGCTAATTGAAGTTTTTCCCATTCAACTATCATATTGTGGTTCAAAAATATTTTTTACTAAATTTTATTATTTGCCCTGAAGGTCGCTCAAAGCCCCTAAACATTTGACAGGTCCCTAATATTATTGAAAAAAAAATTATTTAAAATTATGTCAACTTGGTACTCAAAAGAAGCAAAATCATTTAAAAATTTCAAAAACAAAAAGTATTTTTTATAAAAAAAACAATATTAGGTTTTTTTGAATAAAAACTATGGTTTTTAAACGAAAAATGAAAAAAAGGTAATATTTACAACATTTTTACTAATAAGTTTTTTTAAGTTGTTTTTTATGAAAAATGAATCTAATTTTTAAAATTTTTATAAAATTTTGCTTCTTTTGAGTACCAAGTTGACATATTTTTAAATAATTTTTTTTTAAATAAAATTAGGGACCTGTCAAATGTTTAGTGGTTTTGAGGGACCTATAGGGCAAATGATAAAATTTAGTAAAAAATATTTTTGAACCACAATATGATAGTTGAATGGGAAAAATTTCAATTAGCTATGTATGCTAATTTGAAAACAAATTAGCATACTGAACAGCCCTAATATATATATATATATATATATATATATATATATATATATATATATATATATATATATATATATATATATATATATATATATATATATATATATATATATATATATATATATATATATATATATATATATATATATATATATATATATATATATATGTATATATATATATATATATATATATGTATATATATATATATGTATATATATATATATATATATATATATATATATATATATATATATATATATATATATATATATATATATATATATATATATATATATATATATATATATATATATATATATATATATATATATATATATATATATATATATATATGTATATATATATATATATATATATATGTATATATATATATATGTATATATATATATATATATATATATATATATATATATATATATATATATATATATATATATATATATATATATATATATATATATATATTAGGGCTGTTCAGTATGCTAATTTGTTTTCAGAACATAGCTAATTGAAATTTTTCCCAATCAACTATCATATTGTGGTTCAAAAATATTTTTTACTAAATTTTATCATTTGCCCTATAGGTCCCTCAAAACCACTAAACATTTGACAGGTCCCTAATTTTATTTAAAAAAAAATTATTTAAAAATATGTCAACTTGGTATATATATATATATATAACTTATATATATATATATATATATATATATATATATATATATATATATATATATATATATATATATATATATATATATATATATATATATATATAATATATATATATAGACTTCCCAAGAAGTTTAAATCTTGTTGTTGGTACTTTACTTTTATTTTAATATATAATAAATAATCAAGAATACATTAAAATTCGAGTTGACATAATATTTTACTCAAAACATATTTTTAAAGTAACTTATATGTAATTGAAGCTCTTGTCATCACCTTAAATGTCACGTCTGTGGATAGAGTTGTTAATTCCAAAAAAAAGCTGTAGGAGGCAGCAGTAGTTCTCTATGTTGCTTTTCTTGCCAAACTTACAGACATTTTTATTAATGAGTAATAGTGGGGGAATTTTTGGTGTAGTTGTTTAGTGCTGATAAGTGTTGAAGTTTTAAAAGTTGAATTTGTTAGTCTTAGTGGCAATCTCTGTTCTGTGGCAAACATACCCGGGGTAAATAATTTTACTTTTTTATAAGTAATACTTTTGTTTCATAGCAATTAACTAGGCATATTTACTCCAAGGGGAACAGAGTCCAAGCTTCAAAACATAGCACTCTTTTTAGGGTCTTTTCTTCAATTTGTCTCGTCTGTGGATGTCACGTCTGTGGAGTACAGAAAGCAACAGATGTGACACTCATGGAACAGATGTGACAACAAATGACAATTTTACCTGTACCTAAATTTTTTAATGCCTATTTTTAGCATTTTTAACATTTAAAAATTTTGCTCTAATAGCTAATTAAATATTTTTGAAAAATGTTTTATCCAGATAGATATAATTTTTCTTTACTTACAGTTAAAAAAATGAGAAAGATAGGAAAAACTAGAGAATTGAAAAAACTGAGTATGCGGAAAGCGAGAGAAAAGATGAAAGTTGAAAACCCGAACAAATATGAAGAACAAAAACGGATTATTTTTCTAGAGAAAGAAAAAAAGCAACACGAAAGAAAATTCATGAACTTTCAGAAAGGGATCAGTAAAAAATCAGTAAGAAAAGGTTGGAAAGAAAGGACTAAGAGAAGTCGGGAAATGAAAAATAAAAAAAGAGACAGCAACTTATTGAAAATTTGTCTACACCAGCTGAACGTCCAACTGTAAACATTCCTATTGAAAATGAAATAGACATAAATGTACTTTCTGGTCCCAGTCAGTAATCTAGTTCCAAAAAGATAGTTCCAGTAGGCTAACTGCTGGGAAAAAAGAAACCATAACAAGAAACAAAATGAAAAAAAAAAAGACTATTAAATGATACAATCTTGAATTTGTGGAATGAGTTCAAACAAACAACTGAGCTCAAGTCAACGTCTTATAGCACATTTTAGACCCTTTTGGGTTGTTCAACCAATTAAGACCCTTTTGGGTTGTTCAATCAGGCTTTCGTAAACGAGATACTTATCTATGTATTGACCATGAGAATTTTTCTTTGATTCTTGAAAAGTTGTATAGTCTTAAGATGTTGGCATATAAATATCTTACTGACTTGCTAAAAAGTATAACATGTGATGGCGAGCTGAGAGAATCATGCCTGGAAAGGAAATGTGGAGTATGCATTTTAAACAAAAAAATAGTTTGTAAAGAATTTGAGAATGATATGAATGAAAAAGTAACATTTCCACAATGGTCTAAAAAAAGTGTTGAACTTGTGATAAAAGAAAATGAAGACATGTTTTAAAACTGTAAAAGAAGAGTTAAAATTAACTAAAAAAGAGCTGTATTTGCATTTTGTTAACAACTTACAGGAAAAGTTTATGAAGCATGTATGCAATATAAAACACCAGTACAAAGCTATATCAGAAATAAAAAATAATTCAGGGCCTATGGATATTTTCATTCATTATGACTTTTCAGAAAATTACAATTGCAAATACTTTGCAATTTCCAATTACTCCACTTTGGCGGATAAAGAAACCAAATGTCAATCCATACAGTTATGGCATACTATTGTAGTATTTCTGAAAACAAAATAAAGGCAAAATCATACTGTACAATTTCTGATAACAGGCGTCATGACTTTGTTGGAATCTGTGCGCATTTAAAGCCTGTTATTAATGACTTAAAAGAAAAGCTGCCTGTCATTGAAACAGTTCATTTTCTTAGTGATAGCATTTCTCAACAGTACCGAAACAAGTCCATGTTCTATTTGATTGGTGCTTTTTATCAAAAAGAGTTTGGAGCTAAAACTATAAGGTGGCATTTCAAAAGGGGCATGGAAAAGGTGCCCCTGATGAAATAGGAGGTTATATCAAAAGAACCACAGATAGATTGATTGGATCAGGGAAAGATATTCCTAATATTTATTTGGTTAAAGAAATAAAAGAAAAGTGTCCAAGTATAACCATCTATACTATTAACAACACAGATTTCAATCTCTATGAGAAACGTACCGAAAAACCTAACAACTTTCAAGAGGACTTTACAAGTTTATGAGGTGGTTCCACTAAAAAAGAAACATTGTATATGAGAAGGTTGACATGCACTGTATGTGACAATGATACAAAATGCCAACACTATAATATTGGAGAAGTACTAATCTCTGCGGATTTTTTGACGGATCTTCTTTTTAATGTATAGTTTTTAGAAACTTAAGTTTGCTTATATTGAATATTGTATTATATTGAATATAATATTAAAGATTATATTTGGTTATATTGAATATTGCAAACTTTTGCATTTCTTAAATGTTCTCTAGTTATTTAGTCAGTAAGAATGTTTGATTAATATTTAGTTTTTCAGTTACTCTAGTATTTTCATTAAAGATTAAAATAAGTTGTGCATGAAATCTTAATTGTAAAATAGTTATTTAGCTTGTTTCTGTGTCAATAATAATTTTTTGTTCCTCTGTTTTAAGAAATTTCTTAACATAGTTTAGCAGGTCACAATTCTTGAAAATAAAAAAAATGCCAGCTGAAGAAAGAACATCCAAATGTTTGGCTCATGAACCCCAAGGACCGGGTAAATGTGAAAAGAAATTGACAAGACTAAGTAACCACAGTGTTTACAGCGATAATGAGAGGACAGCTTGTCTATTAAAATCAATGATTTTGTGATCAAGTTTCAAAAAAAAAAAGTGAAATACTATGTTGGGCAAATTCAAGCCTTAGGTGCAGATGAGTTTGTCATAAAGTTTTTGAGAAGATCTGGTCATGAATTTTTTACAATTCAGCTGAACCTCAATAGCAGGGGGCAATATCAATTTCCACAAGACTTTACCATTCAAAAATATTTGCTAATTTTCTTACTAATAATACTTAAAATTTTGTAAAAACTTTTACTATTGTATGTACTATTTTATGTCAACTATTAAAAACTGTTGATTAAAGATGGTTATTATTTTTGTAAATTACCTGACAGACACTAATAGCTGTTACAGCATAAAGCGATACTATTCATAATGTCACGTCTGTGGTAAATTTGTCACATCTGTTGATTACGCTAAAAGTTTTTAATTTTTTTTTGTAAACTAACTTTTAACAAGGTGTGCAGATACTTACAAATGATTAAATATACTCAAAGCTATAACAGCAAAAAATTTGGTTTGGAAATTTTAATATGTAAATTTTATAAAAATATTTATTGAAAATGTTACTTTTTAGGAGAATGACCCATATATATATATATATATATATATTATATATATATATATATATATATATATATATATATATATATATATATATATATATATATATATATATATATATATATATATATATATATATATATATATATATATATATATATATATATATATATATATATAAAATTATATAAAAAATATCTTTATCATGTTTTGGGTTACTTGAATGATTACATATATATATTTTTATTATTTTATATTTTTGTTGTGTTAATGTTGCAATAGTTTTAAAATATATTTTCTAAAAGATGCTAGAAATATTTGATGACTGCTATTTCTCATATATTAAATATAAGTTGTAGTGGTATAAATTTTCATTTGAAACACTCACAATTAATTTATTTCTATAAAAATAACTACATGAAGTAGACAAATTTTCATATTTCTGTTCCAAGCATGATTCCATTTCAAACTTAAGTAATTTTTTGATAATATAACTAATGTATATCCTTCTTTGTTTAGAACATATTTAGATGGATTAGAATTTAATGAGATTAAATTAAAAATTGTTTAGTTATATTGTTTTAGAATTTATTAAGAATAAATTAAAATTGCATATATATGTTACGCTATTTAAAAATTAGATAAAACATATATATGAAATTTCCATGAGTGATTATAATAATAACAACATGTTACATGTTACAATATATCTAAATTTGTTTAGGAAATTATGTATTAAATTACTTTGCTTCAAGATCAAAGCTTGTTCCGTTTGTAGTTCAAGCTCTATCTCAGGTGAATTGTTTTTGTTTGTTTTAGCTCTGTTATAATTACTATGCGTAAAGTTAATATCAATAGAGCAAATTATTAATTTTGAACCATAATTTTGTTATTTATTTTTTAAACAATCAACTCAAAAATTATCATTTTATAACCAAACAAAAGAAATGGTGTTGTTATTCTGGACCAAAAAATATATGATAAAGGAATAAATAAAATAATAAATGATCAAACAATGTTTAAATTGCTTAAAGATGCACTTTTTAGTCAGGAAAGAGAGCTTCAAAGTATTTTCAACGAAATTAAAAAATAAAGATTTTTTTGATGATATAATCTACAAATAACTATTTCCTTTTGGGTCACACCAACTTGTTTTTATGGTCTTTCAAGCTTACATAAAGTCAGTTTTAAATTTTTTTTTTGTTTTATTGATACCTATAACTATCAATTAGAAGAATTTTTAGAAGACTTGCTGTCACCTTTAATACCTTTACAACATTGTACAAAAGATTCATTTAGTCTTGTTAAATATGTAAACTAAGCTAACCTCTGAAAAATATTTTGTATCTCATGGCGTCACAAGGTTAAACATCAATTCTTCCAAAAACCATCGGTATTGTTGTTAATTTTTAAGCAGTCTTTTAAATATTTAGTGTTGCTATGAGATCCCACTACAACTGTTCTTGTTAAATTATTTATAGATCATTTTGAAGATAAAAATTGAAAAAAATAAATAAAAAAAAATTAAAAAAATAATAATTACATTAACTTCCTTTGCTAAATTTTATTGGCTTCTTAAACAGTTTTCAAATCTCAATAAATGACAATTAAATATATATATATATATATATATATATATATATATATATATATATATATATATATATATATATATATATATATATATATATATATATATTACTCCTAATATTACTAAAACATTTTACTAGAACAAATTACTTCTACATATTACTGGATTAAATTAATAGATCAAATGTGCTGTACAAAATTGGTTTGAAGTGAAAGTCAAGAAAGTGCTTATGCTTTTAAAAAATCAATTTTAAGCAATTAACATAATATACTCTATAAAACTCTCTTTTGTTATCTGTGTTTTTATTTAATAATAGACTTTTATTTATTTGCTGAATGCCACATAAAAAAACAAAACTTTTTTAGCCTGGTTTCTAATAGTTGTACAAATATTTACATCAACTGACTATCTAGGTAGAACACACGATGTGCTGCTATATACTGAAGTGGTGTAGTGGTTGACCTCTCGCTTCATAAGCAAGAGGCTCCAAGTTCGATCCCTACAACCTCCCTGCTAGTACCACGCTTAACTTGTCCGCGGAGCGGCCTTGGTCATCAAGGTTTGTGTTTTGGAGTTATAGAGTTGAGAGAAGGTTATAACCACAATTAAGTAGCCTCTTCCTCTGTAGTGGCCTTCTCGGCCTTGGGGAGGTAAATTTACCAAAAAAATAAAAATAAAATAATATTGAATCAGGGTTTTTATTATTCTTCATTTTTAATATACATATATATTATATATATATATATATAATATATATGTATATGTGTATATATATATGTATATATATATATATATATATATATATATATATATATATATATATATATATATATATATATATATATATATATATATATATATATATATATATATATATATATATATATGTATATATATACAAGCGAAATAATTTACAAGTTACAAATGTTATGTTTTATAAAAACTAAATATATATTATAAAAATGGTTATGATGAAATCTTTTTTAGTTTTTTATTATGATAAAAATGATTTTATTATGATAAAAATTCAATACTATGTCGTAAAATTATATAAATATTTTTGTTAAAATTTATGATTTCTATTTAATTATTTTTTAATCTTTAAAATAATTTGTAACTCATAGCTTTTGGTGAAACTAACAAAGTTTGGTTGGTTTGAGTCTCAAGATGATAATTGGGTGTTTCGATCAATAACAATCGATATTAAACAGTTTTTACAAGGCTCTATAGATCACTGCATTATTGGAGTAAAGTTACTAACAGAACTTGTTGCAAGTATGAACCAGGTTAGTCATGTTAGCCAAAAATATTTTATTTCTGATCAAGTTTTATAATTTATATTACAATACTCAATTGTATGTTGTTATTTGAGCTTAGGGATTGTCAATAAATTAATTAAGGTATTAAACCCTTTTAAACTTAAATACACTACTTTGATTTTTTACTTAAATTAAGACTCTGTGAGGGAAAGCTTTTGATCTTTTTTGTTTTGTTTATTGCGAAAGTTTGTGTTATGTAATTTATGGGCGATCCCTTATTTATTCTTATAGTTTTTTATGAGAAACTTTCATGCCTGCATTTAGAAATTAGTTTCGATTTTTTATTTGATAAACATTCTTGGTTTGCCAAGAATGTTGTAAGTTCTAGTTGCTGAGGAACATGATCACTTTGTATAGCTTTAACTATTTGATAGCCATAATACTGATAAGTAAAAAGATTTTTCACTATATCATTACTCAAGTTAATAAGAACCAATTTCAACCTTAGTAAAAAAAGGATTAATTTCAAGATTAGTTATTTTGTCAATAAGCTTCCAATAGGTCCAATCTATTTACTATATCTAACAATTTAATTCGATGTTTTAATTGTAACTCATTGGTTTGTAGAGACAATCCATTTTAAATTTTGCCCTAACTTTAGCTCCATTAGGTGCATTACTCCTCCTTCCCCACCAGTGTTTATATTGGTAGAGACTCTACCAATTGCTGTTAAGTGCATAGATGATTTTTTTCTAAAAAATCTCGAAATTCAGGAAATTTACTTTAATTTTTATTTGAAAAATATTGTATGAAATTTTAAATATAACAATGTTTGCATTTAAACAAATATGTTTTCTATTATTGAAATTTTCACAAGATCAATTTTTGTAACAATTTTTTTCCTTTTTTTTTTTTTTAATACATTCAAATTAACTTTTTCGAATATTAGAAATTTCTTTTTGTAAAAAGTTAAATAAATTCCGTTTTAAAAGTTTACAAAAGTTTTTGTTGTCAGTTAATATGATCAAGAAGAAAAAGTTGTAAAATGGAAGTTAAGAGTTTATCAGACATTTCTGACAAAAATATTAAAAATAAGTTTCGCTGAAAAATAACAGTAAAGATTATTATTCGGCCTATATAAGAAAGATAGATAAAGCTGGAGTGGTAACTTTATTCACTAACTGAAAATTTAAATATGTAATTTCATCATAATTGTATATTATTTGATTTTATGTTTTAGGTACAATGCACAAAATGTACATTATACCTAAAACATTTATTATACGTATGATAAAAACACTGAAAAATAATAGTTACGTTTTCTAATCTGAACTTTCAACAAAAATTCAGTAAAAAATTGAAACACAAATATTTTGGGCCTAAACGCGCAATTAACTGGGATGCGCAACTAATTGGGTGCACAATTAAGCGAGAGACTATTCTAGCTTCAGTTGAGTATCAACTATTAGCATACAAGACTACAGCACTTTGGTACTTTAAAAGACGAGATATATTACATAATCCAGTTAACAATAACATCTGTGGTCATTTGTAAACTGCAAGCAAAAGCTATTTAAAAAAAATGGAGTTTCATCTGAAAAACAGAAAAGTTGAAGAATGTTTTTATAATATAAATTCAACGCGAATAAAAAAAGATTGCATCAGTTAATAAAACAGTTAAAGAATCTATTAATGATCATGCAAAAAAGTGCAGAAAAAGAAAAGCTGATAGATGTTTTGCAGGAGAATGTATTAAGTATAAAAAGTATTAATTTATGAACCATTTTCTGACATTTTAAATTAAAAAAGTAAATAAATTATTACGCTTTGCAGATTCTTTATGGTAAAATTGAGATATTGTATTTGATTTTAGCATAATTATTCAGTAGTTTTTAGTTACTTTATTTATCCCTCTATCGACGTTCCAGAGTATAACCACATACCTTCGTCAATTATACGGTTAACGTATAATTGACGAAGGTATGTGGTTATACTCTGGAATATTATTTTCCGTGATTTTCAAAGAAAGAATTTTCCGGAATTCTCATAAATTCAATACTCATCTATGTAAGTGTGTGCTAATTTTTCTTATTTCGGTATACTCAAAGAGTTTGTATGCTATAATTTCAACGTGTTTCTTTTCTGCTTTTCTTTAGCTGGTGTGAAATGAAATAAATACTTCCCATCACAAGAAAAAACAGTATAATGTTCTTCTTTAACTTTAGTGGGGTACTGTCTGTCTGATCCATCTACAGTTAAAAACATTTTATTCAAATTTTTTTGTCCATCAAAAAATATACAGTCTATAATCTCTTTATTACAGTAATTATCAAACTGATTAACAACTTCATTCATAACCTTATCCCTAGCTCTTCTGATCAATTATTAATCTATTTTCATATTTGGATACAAGTTCTCCATCTACCCATGCTGCAGTAACTTTTAAACCAACACACCTAAACTAATACACCTAATAATAATACCTAATATCTAATACTGACCAATGCCTAATTAGAGATATCTTCATAGTTTCTTGATTTTTTTAAACATTTTGTACCTGAGTTTTAAAATAGAAATCTTACTTTTGTCAAGATTGAACTTTCCAAAAATTTTGTGTTGGCTATTTTGTTTATCTTGAGCATTAGTTTTGTTTAGAGTCATGTATTATTTTCTTACATTACATAGTGTTTCTTCTACTCTTTTTTGTTTGCAACTTTCTACCTTTTTTAACCTTTTTGGCTTCATCAAATCAGCAGGCCCAAGTTGATTAAAACTAAGAGTTCCAATCTTCTCTTGCTGGGCTATAATAAAATGTAGCAATAATTTGTTTACCTCTAGAAAAATATAAAAAAAAATTTTCTTTTTTTAATCATAATTGTTAACTAAAATATTTAAATATAGTAAAATTTCATTTTTAGCATTAATAATACTTTTATATCATTTTTAGTATATCAACTCATATTAACCACATCATTAATCAGTATTTTTTTTCTCCCTAGGACAGATACAGGTACTCAGAACAAAGTGAAATCATACATTTACAATCAAGTCAAATTATTTCTCAATGATGAAACTTTTGTTTTGTAATTTTACTTGCTCTATTTTGAGAAATCAGGCAAGCTTTGTTCCAAACATCTTTGAGTCTTGTTATTAAATTATGTTTTAAAGTTGTTACAAAAGGCTTAAATAAAACACTGGAGATTAGCCATTTTTCTGAATATTTTTTGTAAATATCCTGAATCAACTCAAAATTACTATAGTTTCTTCTGTTAAGTTCACTGGTTTCTCGTAGAAAAATACCTTATCTTAACACATCTTTCAGTGTTAGCAGTTTAGCTGCTGGTAACTTCTTTCCAGATCCCAAATATTCACATTGACAAGAACCATTTTTCCTTCTTGTTCCAGCAGCCATTTTATATTTAATTATACTTTATCTAGTAATTTTAAAAATTTAATTAGAAATGTAATAAATATCAATTTATGTTTTGAATAAAAAGATAACAACATCAATATTGATAAGAAATATAATCCTGGTAAACTATTTTTATATAACAAATACAATAGATTAAGAATTGAAAATATGCAGCATCATAGTTTTATATAGAATAAAATGAAGAGAAATCCTGGATCCATCTCTTTTTGTTTACTATATTTCTCAAATCATATCCCACTATAAAAACCTATGAAAATTAAACAAAAAGTTTAATTTTCTTCCTCTTTAGTTCCTTTTGATAACTTCACTGACAATAAATAAAAATCAATAACTTGTATATTATATGTTTTAAAAAGGTATTTAAAAAAAAGTTTCTGTTTAGCCATTTGGAAAGTGACCTAATAAAATATATGAGTTGAAGTTATTGTATACAAAACTACAAAAAAGCCACCCCTCCTTTTTTTTAAATACTCTGTAAACCGAAATTTCTGAAACAGTTTTAAATACTAAATGTATTATGCTTATCTTGTATTAATTTCTGTAGATAAGTTTGCTGTAAAGCTCATTAGATAACTTTGTTGTAAAGCTGATTTAAGCCTAAAAATGTTAAAATTGACTCTGCAATATAAAACTCTGCATTATAAAACTTTGCAATATAAAAGAATTAAAATATTACCTTTTTTAGCAATTTTCAAAGCAGTTCCCTGGTAGCTTAAACTCATTTAAATTTAAATTTTTTGATAGTTCTAAATTTGATATGTTAAACCTCACTTTTTTTTAATAATGCCAATGGTAAATTTGATTTTTTAAGTTTAGACCTGAGTATAATACATCCTAATACACATATATGGTAAATTCTAATTTTTGGTATGCGGGTGACTTTTTTCGACAAGAAAATTAAATTTATGTTTAAATGTCATTACTTTTATACAAATATATATCGATTTATGCCCTAGGAACATGGGGTCTCAAAATAATATATATATATATATATATATATATATATATATATATATATATATATATATATATATATATATATATATGTATATATATATATATATATATATATATATATATATATATATATATATATATATACATACAGGGGTCGAAATAAGTGCCGGACATCGCCGCCCCTCAGACCATTTTTGAGACCTGCTAGATGAGGACAACAAACCATTGTTCATTTTTTCAGTAAAAAAAAAAATATATATATATATTTATATTATTTTTCTATTATAAAATAATCAGTGTATATTAATTAGTTTTTATTAAGAATAATATAATTGGTTTATTTTTAATCTTAATATATCGTTGCCACTTTTTATTTCAAGAGTATTCTTTTGAATATATATTTCTTTTTCACTGTAATATAGTAATATAGCGATTTATGTTCAATAAAAATCTCCGCAGAAGAGAACCAATGATCTTCTACTTCTAATTATTATTTAAATTCTCCTTACTTTAAGTCCTTTATGGACGAACCCTTCATCATCATGTAATAAATTGTGCCATTAAAAGAAATGGGGCAAATATATAAAAAATGAGCCTCAAAAAGTTTAAGTTTTAGCTCTATTGGATCACTTTTGAC